CGAGTACAAACGGAAAGTCAGTGTACTTGAGGGTCGAACCGTCAGTAAAAGCTGGATGTACAAGCACACGACGCTGTGGTCATTCGCTATGACGTACTGGTTCCTTTCCACTACTTTATCGAATCAAGGATATGTCACACTTTTATAGGACCAAAACGAGTTCGAATACCAACCTTCAAACCCCTCCTCTGAACCTCGAGGGGTCTAACTTCACTCTCCCGCTACGACCCCGGTTAGTCATTTCGGAGCTTTGACACGCGATACAGGTAAAAATGTTGCTAATCAATTAGCTAGCCGCTCGACACTTGTGACGACTTGCAGCGCGACGATACCTATTGAGCCTTATTGTGGATACTTTTCAATTTACCTCCAAAAATATGCCATTATAGACGAATTTGCTTCGCTCTGTATACGAGTTATCGCTGCTAAGCTATCCATTGGCACCATTATTGGCAACTCGGTCTCGATACTCAACTCGCCCAGCACCTCCTGTAATGCAAAATTATCATGACCACCTACCGATGAGAGAACAAATCCGCTTTTTTTGTTTAAAGTTAATTATGTTGAATCTCTACTTCGTTGCACAGCAATGAAACAATCGTCATATTATCCACCACCACGGCGTCATGGACGGCCTTTCTGTCCTCCCTGTTTGCTACGATGTCAGCGCTAGAATTAAAGATACCGGTGCGTTGGACTCCGTCGACGCCAGTGTGGTTGCGAATGAAGAGTTGGATTCCCTAAATAATGAGAAGGTGCAACATGCAGGACAATGCCGATGAAGTTGGAGTTGACGACGTGCCAAACGAAGTAAAGCTCAATCGAGGACAAAGAAAATACATTTTGGAGAGACAAAATAGATCTGTTGTTTGTGTCAAATATAGTAAAGTCTACTACCGCATTGCCTTTGTCCTAAGCAAGGTCCAATGTACACAATACGTGATAGGGTTATTCACATTCAGTAAAGTTAGCAGCTATAGAGTACGAATTACTCTTTTTTTAACTAACTAAATATTTATAGACACGGCGGGAATCGAACCCGCGTCTATCGCATAAAACGCGGCACTCTTGCCATTTAACTACCTTCAAAATTGAATCAAGTAAAAAAAATGTGATTATGGAAACTCATCATCTGAACGGCTGGGGTATTCATCATCACTTCCGATAGACTTACCAACAGCACCAAGCAGTTCCAGTAATCGGTTATTTGACCGATCTCGAGTGACTCAGCGGCAGCCTCAGTATCACGGGTATAGTCCAATAGACCAGCATTTCCAAGCCACTGACAATTGTAGTGGCACTGATTTCTCCCCATCTTTCGCTAAGCCATGACGTAATGTCAACTCGTTTTTAGGGCCACCATCTCGAATGTAGAACGTAGCGTCTGGTCCTGTGGGCGAGCTATCTTCTCTCGTGCTACCTCTTGGATCTCCGTTCTAGCAATCTTAGCGACTTGTTTAGCTTACGCCGCTCCTGTATACGGTCTCTTTCAAGTGCGGGATGACGATCAATCAGTACTCATATGCTGTCGAGCGAATGCCCACGTAGCCGACTTATAACTGGCTGATCCCAAGCCACATCCGCTCTCTGATACACGTAGGAGCAACGTGGTGGAATCCTAACCAGCACCACGTTTATGGATGCTGCATGGTCGACAACTGCTTGGGTCCAGTGCCCAGAGAAGTGGCCAAAAACAACAATATTTTCTCCATTATATTCTCTCGGAATCCAAAGTGAAACTGAAGTAATTCTAGTGGAATGTGTAAATTCCACCATGCTGTAGGATTCTCACAGATACGGCAGCCGTGGAGACTTTGCATATCAATCATCTCCGTCCATAAACAAAACCAAAATCCGTGGCGAATCGAATCGTTCTCATCTTGAATGTGTCTGTGAAAGTAGATGCCATTTTTGTAAACGGCAAAATGCACATGCTTGTGTCCATTCCAGTCGGCCAGCAGCATGATCATAGCTCCCTTTCTCCTATCCACTACATTTAACCCAGATCGACTTTAACCCTTCCGTTGATACTGACTGGCGAGGTAGCTACTCGTAAAATATGACTATAGCATACGACAAGTGTCAGTGTAGTCAAGCGCATATAATGCATGCTTGTTACCTTATCTGTTTGATCAGAATTGTATACATTACTGAACCCGTGTTCAACTATAGCAGCCCGTACTTCCCCACAGAACCTTGCCTTAGCAGCTTCCGCATCCTCGTGGTGTTGTTTGTCCCTGATGCGTGCCCGCCCTAATACACAGGTTGTGCCTCCTCATGAACCGGCCCCTCCGCGAGTGAGATGCCTTGGAGATGTCATGCGCGAGCCCTCCGTCAGCAGCCACTTCGAGGGCCTTGAACCTCAGTATTTGAGATGTGACTGGGCAGTCCTCGATGCGCATCGAATTAATCCACTGGACAATAGCCTCTTCAGCTTCACTCGAAAGAAATTTTGCTAGGCCACTGAACCGTAGATTCTTGAAATGCCCCTTGACGTCCTCACAGAACAATTTAATAAGCGCTTCCTATTATTTCCACTTAGAAACCTGCTTTTGTTTTGCGGCTTATTGCTACCCGTGCTGTCGGGAGAGAAGTGGGAGACGGCTTCGCCCACACAGTGCCCAGCGGTAAGATAGTTTAATAGCTCCAGCTTGTGTGAGTAGTCAACAGCAATCCGAGCGTAGCGCTTGGCTTTTGGTCGGTTCTAATGGAACGTGGTCTGTCCATTGCAGCAATTACGTCATTTGAGAAGTCTATACCAGCAGCGCAGCCTATAATTAGCCCCGATATGTGGTATTTTATTGTTGTCTATCTGTATAGAATAGAGAGCCTCAATTGGTTATATTTCGCTTAGGACAGGGTCGATGGGGTAAGTTGATTCTTGAAGAGCGACTCTACATCACCAACAACGTGGTAAGCGTTGGCCTTTGCGCGAGTAGACGCTATTTCTTTGTGCAGCTCAAACTCCAGAAGCACTATGTTGTAGAGTCATCATTTCAATCAAGTTTTTGACAAATTGTAGTATCAATCTTTTGGGTTTTGAGGGGGTGCTTCGCTCTCATCTGATGACGACAGTTCGGCACGTAGAAGTCCCCCCGGGAGACCACGTGAGACCACGTGAGACCCACCCACGGTCAGGCCATGCAACCCAGAAAATGGCATCAAGCAATCCACAGGTAGTTGCTTTTGTAAAAATAAATCTAGATAAGTTCCGCACGAACCCGCAGCTCTCTCTGTCCACGTTGTGGTGCTCGATTTGTCGCTTGATTCTGTTATTGAATTAAACTTACCCGGGCAGAAAATATATAATAAAATAAGCGGTAGATGCTATTTTTATTACTGTTAAGGGGTCTCTACAGCCAGGTCATGGAACCTAATAACCTTCCAGAAAAAACTTACACTATTTGTATCGTGCAAGTGTTTTGACAGTAAGTCGTGCCTCTATCACACCATCTACTTGAAAAATGTAAACCAAATCGTGTCTCGCTACTGAGGCAAATTGCTGTACTACCGAAGGTTGTATATGCTTGTCAAAGCTGCTAATGGTGCCGCTTTGTGAAGTTTAGTCGCCTGCATCGGCGTCAACATTTATTCATTTACATCGGCTGCAGCAACTAGAAAGAATCGCCGGATACCCATTCAAACCACAAAAGCATAAGAAGTGAGAGCACGGTCAGCGAGAGGTGTTACAATAACAAAGAAAATAACCAAGAATCAAAGCGCTTATGTATCACACTGTAACTGATGTCCCCGCGGAATGGATGTAGTTTAGTAGGCGCCGTCGATGCTACGTGCAGGCTGAAGCGTTTGGAGGCACCTTGCCTATCAGACTATAAAAAAAATCACATGCATCTGGATGTCTGGATGTATTATTATGTTACTAGTAACCGCATGTCGGCATTTTCCCACATGCTTCCAATGTCTGATCAAAGAGGCATAGGATACAACACGTGCTCACAGTGTGGATAAGATCCAGCGGTTTAAGAGAGAGACTTGTATTTGGCTGCTCTGCCTTACGTCTTCAAAGGGGCCCGTCAAGAGTATTCTCACTTTCCAATTCCTACTGGAGTTGACAACCAGCCTTCCCTCGCAACATCAACTTCCTAAACTTCGGTCACCATGGTTCGCGCCATCCCTGTCATCGTGGGTCTGCTGATGCTGTCGACAACTTCTGTTGAGAGTTCAACTGGTCGTTTCCTCCAGTCCACACAGGGCAACTGCGCTCGACGAGTGTGTACTGTCAACGGCGGCGCCTCAACGTCCGAAGACTGCAACACCCTGTGCAACCGCGTCGGTGACGGCAACAGCATGTCTGAATGTGGTCAGAAGTGCTCGTGCACTACGGATACCTCGGCTACCGCTCAAATGTGCTCGACAAGCTGCCAGTACACCTTGAGTGACTGCTCCAGTGGCCAAATGTGCAGTGGCGAAACGATAGTTTGTCCCGGCTCAACCAGTTCCACCGGGTCTGTTTCACCCTCATCGGGCGCAACTACAACTAGTTCAACCCTGAATAGTGCAACCGGGTCAGCCACGACGAACGCATCAGGAACCGCAACGACGGGTGCCACCTCAAGCGCTGCTACGACGAATGCCACGACGAACCCTGCGTCTGGATCAGCCACTACTAACGCATCGGGTGCAGCTACGACAGACTCATCGACTAACACGTCAGGAACAAGTACATCGGATGGTACTATCTCGGGGTCGACAACGAACGGCGCTACTGGACCGACTTCGGCTGCCGGTGGATCTGTCACTGGGTCTGATAACGGCGTTGCAGGATCAAACTCAAACCCCACTTCAAGCTCGTCGGACAATGGAGCTGGTGTTTCCTCTTCGTCCCTGTCGGACAGTTCTTCAATCACGGCGTCTTCGCTGGATAGCTCTGCATCTGGGAAGGCGGTGGATGTAGGTGACTCGTCCACTGGTGGATCGACTGCGTCTTCGCTGAGATCGGACTCCTCGACGTCTTCAGCATCGGGATCGGATTCAAATTCGGCGGTGCGATCAATGCTGCCTGGTGCAACGATACTGGTGGCCATCGCTAGTGCCTTCGTTGCTGCTCTGTTCTAGTCCGGTTTGTATAGCCAGATCCAGTCTGTACAGTACAATTTCATGTACTCTTTTTTTGCAACTCTTCCTGCCATTCCGCTGGAGCATGTAGTTATTGTGTTGCAAGCGTTTTTTTTTTCTGACGAAAAGATGCGTGAGCAAAAGTTGATTTAACTGCAAAACCTTACATCATCTATACTGGGAGCTTTCCTAGTTCATTCGAGTTGCACCGATCCTTGCGGTACAATAAATTTATTTAACACGTTGCACTTCACAGTACTACATCTCAGAGTGAGAACAAGCGCTCATCTGGTTTTCGAGTACCTCCAGGTGTCCGCTGCACCTCCTTGGACGGGGTCGCTGGAGCACCATGGTATCCGCTTTCAGCCAAGCCGACGTCGCTTTTAGTCCCCATCGGAGCCAAGTTCTCTTTATATTCCTCTTCGTGCTTCTTCGTGGCCAGGTTCATCTGATAATTCTCCTCCTCTTCTTGTTTCTTCTTTTTGCTTTGGACGAATGCTCGCACTGAAAGCGCAATGGAAAACAGCGTGGCAAGCGCACCGCCGATCGTCACGAGCCACTTCCACACAGGCCACCGATCGCATTCCGGAGGGTGCGTCCAGTCCGACACGCACACGCAAGTCCGCATACCATCGACCACCTGCACGCTCGCTCGCTGATCGTTGCAGCTCTCCACAGTTTCATCAGCCTCTATCGAGCTAGAACCAGAACTCTTACTAGAACTCGGAGCGGAAGTAGGCACCTGAACGTCGTTCGCATTGCACGTATTGTCGCTGGAGTCACCGGTCTCCACAGTCACCGCGTGCTCTGGAGACGCCTCGCGACAGGCGTCACTGCCCCAGCCTCGAAAGTAAATGGTACCTGCGGCCTTTGCGCAGATCAAAAAAGTATCGGACTTCTTCTCTGCTGATGTATCGGAACTTGAAGGCGTCACGGTTTTCTTCTGACCGGTCTTGAGTGACACGTACGTGACGTTCTCGACGCCACTCCACGTGAACGAAACGTAGGATCCCGCTTTCACGACAGCCGTGACGCCGTCGTCTCCGTATGATACACTGTCGCCATAGGTGGGGTCTCCTAGACTACCGCAGTCAAAGCAGCAGACACCTCCTGTTACCTTGGTGCAGTCGTTGAAGACAACGGGGTCGTAGCTGTAAGGAACGGACGAAGTCTTGCCGATGCAAGTGTTGCAACACTCGGAGGAGGAACTGGCAGCCAAATTGGCTTGAATTTCATCGAGTACAAACACCGAGGCGACAAGCACGAGCGTCAATACCACCGACCGGCGGTTCATCCTGCTTCTTGCGTTGCAAGTAGAGAAATGACGCACGGGCGCAGTTACATACGCTGCAGTCGTGTGCACGAGTTTTCACAAATACAAAACCACTACGCCAGGATATAAAGAGGCGGAATGTCGTCTCGAAACGACGATGAAGGCTGCTGTTTGGATGATGGCAGACTATCGACTGCCTTTCCCGGAGGTTTGGCAAGTGAGGCGTGAGTTGTGAAGCCTCTGGATTGGAGATTCTCGGACAGCAACGTGCTCGTGCATGCATCGTTTCAATCTCGGAGTATCTGATATTCACAATTTGCGATTAGTCGATTGCTTGAACAGCAAAGCACGACTGAATTGTGCGGTGCTTGTCGCCAGTACATGAAGTTCATTCGTTTATTGCTGCTGATAAGTTTTTTCACGTTCTGGTTCCAAGCGTGAGTTGTCTAGCCACGAACAACTCATTAAGTTTTGTTCACGGTTTTGAGTATTTGCCTAGCCGTGGTTGTACCAGTTTAGATTGGCAAGAGAGCTGACTCACGGCAATGCAATCAAGACATCGTTGGGCTCTCTGTTGCCAATTGCACTGCCAGTTGTTTCAATTTGCACAAGGCGTCGTCGGTCCGACAGCTTACAGCAAGAAAATATTTTAAAATAATAATAAAAAAAAATAAAGCTTGACATGATCAAAAAGGTCTCATCGATTATGGCACATACTTCTAGTGGGATCGTGCTGGTCAGTCTGTTCGTAAGCTTTCTGGTTACTTCTAGTGCTATGGTTACTGTTCAGTAGCAATTGAAGGCAACTCACGCGAGCACGAAAGAACTTGAGCTGCGCAAGGTGTAGTCGCGCTTAAAACTGTATTGGTATTGATAGATCTCTGGTTTCCTCAGAGCGTGAACTCGTTGTCGACCGGTTTCCGAGGAGCTCCAGATGTGCGGTCTACCTGCGGGTCGTATGCGGTAGGGACCATCATCGCGTTGCCGTGGTAGCCAGTATTAGGTGTTACCTCTAATGTCGCGACGTCGCTCTTTGGAGTGATTCGGCCCAGGTTGTTCTGGTATTCTTCATCCTGTTTCTTCTTCTTGAGACTGGCAAGTAGTGCGCGTACTGAAATAATGATCGAGAACAAGGCAGCAACAGCACCACCGATCGTCACGAGCCATTTCCACACGGGCCACTGGTTGCACTCGGGCGGATTCGTCCAGTCCGAGACACAAACGCAAGTACGTGTGCCATCAACCACCTGGATACTCGCTCGCTGGGCGTTGCAACTGTCCACGGTCTCGTCAGCTGGGAGCGAACTAGAACCCGAACCTTTAGCACTGGAAGTCGAAGCCTCTGTGTCGTCGCCTAGTAAACTCGCTTCCGTCGCGTCACACGTGTTAGTGCTCGAGTCACTCGCCTCCACGGTCACTGAGTGTTCCTGAGATGCCTCACGGCAGGTGTCACTGCCCCACCCTCGGAAGTAGATCGTCCCTGCGCTCTTAGCGCAAATAAGGAAAGTATTGGACTTCTTAGTCGCTTGTGCATCAGAAACTGTAGGCGTCACGGTTTTCTTCTGCCCGGTTTTGAGGGAAATATACGTGACGTTCACCACGTCGCTCCAAGTGAAGGAAATGTACGTGCCGGCCTTGACGACGGCCGTCACGCCGTCCGAAGCGTAGGAGACCGTGTCTCCATACGTCGGATCGCCCAAGCTGCCGCAGTCGAAGCAGCACACGCCGCCGGTCACGTTGGAACATTGAGAAAAGATAACGGGGTCGTAGGAATACACTGCACTTGACGTCTTGCCGATACAGGTGTTACAGCATTCCGCGGTGGAGCTGGCAGCGAACGCCTCCCAGTTAGCTTTGGTGACATCGAGTGTCAAGGCCAATACGACCAGATACAGCGCCAACATTATCGATCGGTGCGGTGCCATTGTGCTCAAGAGGCTTTTTACTGCGAAGTGAAGCGAGTGGCAGGCGCCTCAGCGCTCCGGTCTAGCGCACGAATGCACGAATGCGAAACTACACTGAATAAAAGAGGCGGGAGGGTGTCGTGACGACGATAGTGACTGGTACCAAGGTGGTGACTATCGCAATAGCCTGTTCGTTCAATCCGTTCCTCGACAAAGTTTGGATGTTGCTTCGTCTGGTGCATGAAAAACCGTTTTCAAGAGCGATCTTTTCCATCTCAATCGATCTTGCAACTAGCAATTGAAGAGCTTTGGGCCGAGGAATTGCTTGTCGAGATTCGAGATTTGCATACATCTGTAGAGCATTTTTACAGCAAAGCCAAGACCGGCATCGACATCCTGTTTTTTTTTTTTTTTTTTTGAGTCAGCACTTGCTCATTATTCTCAAGTCACAGCATGTTGGCCACCATGCATGTTACTCAAAAGCTACCAAATCTACCTGTAGAACGATATCCCTTCAGTACAACTCTGTGACAGTCTACTGAACTTCGCTGTTTGACGACACTATTCGAGACATTTCCATTGTCAATTGTTTCAATTTGCGTCGTCACATTTGTCAATCGCAACAAAATGCTCGGCAGTGTCAAAAAGGAACGGGGGTATATTGCACATACGATCACCTCGGCTGACTCTCTGCTGTCTTGTCACGACCACTACGCGGCAGAATCCTTTCCACCTCATCGCCATCACACCAAATGCCAGCCAACGCAGGAGCCACATCCACGGTGAGAAGGGAAGCTAACTAGTTTCGCTCGAGGCATCGCTCTAACGTTATTTTCTACGAATTTCTCACAACGTGAACTCGCGGTCGTCGGCCTTCCGTGCGCCTCCGGGGTTGCGGTCCACCTCCGGGTTGTATTTGTACGGGGCCTGAGTGTTGCCATTATACCCGTGGTCTGGCGTCACCTGCAGCGTCTCGACGTCGCTCTTGGCACCCGGCGCCAGATTCTCACGATACTCCTCCTCACGTTTCTTCTTGCGACTAGCCAGGAACGCACGAACGGAAATGATAATGGAAAACAAGGCGGCAACGCCACCACCGATGGTGACAAGCCATTTCCACACGGGCCACTGGTCACACTCGGGCGGATTGGCCCAATCTGAAACACAGACACAAGTCCGCGTGCCATCGACAACCTGCACACTCGCTCGCTGGGCGTTGCAACTGTCCACAGTGTCGTCATTCGCGACGGAACCCGAGCCGGTAGGGGACGCCGTGGGCACCACCACATCGTCGGCATTGCATGTGTTGGCGGTCGAGTCACTGGCCTCTACCGTGACGGAGTATTCCTGAGACGCCTCACGACAAGCGTCACTGCCCCATCCGCGGAAGTAAATGGTGCCGGCCGACTTGGCACAAATGAGAAAAGTGTCCGACTTGACGGTTGCCGCAGAGTCGGAATATGTCGGCGTCACGGTCTTCTTTTGCCCGGTCTTGAGGGAAATGTACGTGACGTTTTCAACGCCACTCCAAGTGAAGGAAATGAACGTGCCCGCCTGCACAACGGCCGTCACGCCGTCGTCTCCGTACGAGATTGTGTCGCCATACGACGGGTCGCCCATACTACCACAGTCGAAGCAGCAAACGCCGCCGGTCACGTTCGAGCACTGGGAAAAGACCACGGGGTCGTAGCTGTAGACGGCGTCCGACGTCTTGCCGATGCACGTGTTGCAACATTCCGCGGTGGAGCTGGCGGCGAGCGCCTCCCAGTGGGCTGTGCTGGTTCCGAAAAGCGATAGCACTAGGCTCAGTGCCAAGAGTGTTGGTCCGCACACACTCATGGTTTTTTTTTTTTTTTTCCTGTTGCTATGCGCTGCGAAAATGGAGGCAAACAAACCGAGGGGCGCAACGCGGCAAATGAGAAACTACGGCTTGAAACGAATGAAAAAGAGGCGGAGCGCCTGTCTTATCCTAAAACGGCAATGGCTGCGAACTCTGGCGGCAGCTGGGGCGCGGAAGACCTGGGCGGGTTTTTACTGTTTGCCGAACGAACTGTGTTTTGCCATCGCGACATCGTGCCTACAGCTGTTGCGGTGTTGTGGGCTCAAACGTGTGGAAAAACCTTTGCCCACGAAGGAACAAATGGGTGCACCAGATGAGCTTGATGTTGCAACAAGAAGGTTTTGCCTTTTGCATCTTGCCACTGAGAAAACGGCAATTTCCATTAGAAATAAGGCAGAAAAATCCACGCCAGTTTTGTCGCTCCGTGATGCATGCACAACTAACTACTTCGAAGTATCTAGTGCCGAGCTGAGCAAAACGCGTGCGCATGGATTGCCGATGGACTGCCGCGTTGGACTGCGAGCCTCTCAACTTGAGCGCGGTCGATGATTGATCGATGCCAGTGACTGTCCCTCGTCCTATCCACATCTCTGATCGTTCCATGGTGAAAGATTTGGCTTGCTGGTCGCGCAGCGAGAGGCGGGTCGCCGACCAGAGCTCAATTATTGAGGCAATTATTGGGCCTCGATGCAGGAATTCCTCCATGGCAGCAGGTTGCTGAACTGGCGGATTGGAGCACCATCCACGCAACACTCCGCTCCGAAGTGTTCACACTCGTCGTGCAAGTCGCACTGCGACTCCAAGATAAATTATCAGGTAAAATCTTACTAGTAGTTCGACCACCAGCAAATGAACCAACACTCCCCCAAGTAAATAAAAATGAAAAATGCATTTGCAAGTGCTTCACTAATATCTGGTCTACAGCCGAACGGACTGGGTCTCAGCGTGCACATCGGCGTCCGGGTACCGCTGCGACTGCAGGAACGAAACGGAGCGAGGTTGGCCGCGCGGATAGCTGACTTGTCCTTGGCGCAAATCTTCAATGTGTTCTTCCTCAAACTCAGCCTCAAAGTCGAAACTGGACGACAACTGCTTCGCCAGTCTGTGCTGCTCGGCAGCCGTGGCCGACAAGTCCGTGGACGAGGCCTGCGAGCTCTCGTGGGCGCTGCTCAGTCCCGTACTCAGTCCATAGCGAAGCATCCGCGGGTTACTCGCGTCCTCGCCACTCTCGAGACGGTGGAAGCTGAAGTGGTCTCTGGCTTCGGACGTTGTCTGGCGAATAGACTCGTCGTTCTCGTCCACATTGACGCCGCTGAATCCGAACTGCGTCGCGTTGTTTCGTGCGTGCGAGGCCGCGCTACTAGCCGGCGGGCCGCTGTATCCGACGCCGCGACTGGCTCCCGAAATGCCAAAGTTGACTTGACCAGCCGACGCGCCGGCGACGCCGGCCGAACGGTTCATCGCGGACGTCTGTGCGATGCGCGTCTGCTGCTTGTGCAGGTCGTCCACCTGTGCTTCGTGTTCCATTGCCTCTACAACCTCGGGCGCGGACTCGCGCATGGATCGCTGGTACTTCTTCTCGGCCTTGGTCTGGATCGCGCCCAGTTTCGTACTGGCGCAGAACAGGAACAGCACGGCCGTGAGCACGGCGCAACAGCCCGCCAGAACGAAGTGCGATAGCGCGAAGGACGGATCCAGGAAGTACACGACGATCTGCACCAGGTAGAACACGCACAGCGACAGCGTCCAGTAAAGCGGCCGGCGCGACGCCGGGAACATTTCCAGCGCAGACAACCACGTGACGCTCATGAGACTCAACCCGGCCGAGATGTACAGCAGACACAGCAGAGCCTGCACCAGTCCGCCGTCCGCGCTCGATACGGCGCCAATGACGCCGCACGTGAACGCCATCAACGCCACGAACGGCAAGAACTCCTTCAAGATGGTCTTGCGACGCACATTGTCCACCAAGAAGCTGCCGAACGCGAAGCCCGTCGCGCAGCACAGAGCGAAGTACACTTCCCAGTAGTTGTTGGCGTTGCCGCTGTCGTCCGCGTTCACCTGGAGCGTGCGTCGGATCAGCAGCGTCTGGGACATAATGAGACCGAACATAGCCTGCAGCGCGAACACGATGGACAGTCGGAACATGAGGTGGTTCTGACGGGTCTTCTGCACCAGCTCGGCCTTAATCAGTTCCATCTCGGGCGTCACGTTCTGGCGGCGACGCAGACGGATGAGAACGGCGCGCGCGGGCTCGTCCTGCTTGTGCGCCAGCAGCCACACGGGGCTTTCCGGCACGAACCAGAGGATCCCGAAGAACGCGAGGATCAGCGCCGGCTGCACGAACACAGGCTGAAGGCGCCACATATTGGTAGGTTTGTTCTCCCAGTCCTCCGAGATGGTCGTTGCGTTCGTGTTGGCCATCAGCAGTGAGTGCACGAACCAGCCGATCATCGAACCCATCAAGAAGACAGTCACACTCTTGCCACGCCAGCCTTTCGTACAGATCTCGTAGCTCCACAGCAAGTAGTTCATCGCCATCATAGCCGCGCCCATCGCCGCCAACCCGCAAGACACGATAATGATCGCCGTGCTCGCGATAAAGTTGAGAACAAGCGAAACGAAGATCAAACTGCCGCCGATCGCCATGTTGATGCGGCGTCCGAGCACGCGCCCGATCAGTAGCGACAGCAGGACGGCGACGATGCTCATCGTGGCGCACGTCATCTTCAAGTACCCGTTTTCCATGTAATTCAGCATCTCCGATCCCTTGTTCGGCAGTTTGTTAGTCACGAAGTAGTAGAACGAGCGGTTCATAAAGTTCTCGCTCGGGTCGTTGATGTATCCCAGCGTGTACACGAACGACGTCATGAAGCCGTGGATAAATCCGCCCATCAGTCCAAGCAGGATAACCAGCGACGCCGCCACCTCCGAGCCAGAGCTCAACGCACGCGAGAACCCGCCGTTGTACATCGCACGTGTCTGGAGGATACGCATGAACGGCAACAGCGACAACAGGAACAGCGGAATCACCAGGAACAGGCCCACAATCATGTCCATAAGGAAGCCCAACGCCATCATAGGACTCCACATAGCCACCTCCATTCCGAACACACCGTTGAACGCCAGAGCGTACTGCACGATCGAGTTGAAGCCCAGGAACATGGCGATGGAGAACGTAAAGCATTTCTTCACAGACCAGCCGCCAATAGCACCAAGAATCAACGGGATCAAGAGGATGCCTCCGATCACACAAACCATGTACAAGATGCCTTGGATCGTGAGCGAGTTGAGCTTGCGGTGCTTGGATACACAGTGATTGACTCGGTTTCCGAACCACAGCAACACCCACGTGGCGCCCATGGCTCCAAACAGCAGAGCGAACCACGCCAAGTCGAACTCCGTCATGAAGACGTAATACATTGCTAGCGGGTGGCGCAGCTCTCGGATGCAGTACGTGAGACGTCCCATGGGACCCAGAGGCACCATCAAGTCGACGTCGGACTTCCACCAGTCGTCCCAGCCATCCTTCGGGTGCAGGAACGCAGCGCTACTGGCATTCTTACCGGTTTCTTCGTCGTTACCGTCGTCCTTGTGGTGCGCCCGCATCATCCACGCGAACCAATTGGCGATGTCCACCTTGGATTTCTGCAGTACCAGGCCGTCCGTGTTGAAGACGAACGGAGCCATCAACCAGCACGCGCCCAGGAACAGCACAGCGAACGACGCGATACCGTAACTCTGGGACTTCTCACTGAACGCAGCCAGCGACGTGATGTTCGCCGGGATCTGGTCGGGATCTTTATCGCAGTCGAAGTCTGCAGTGGCGCAGTATTCCTCCAAGGCGTCCGAGCCAATATCAAACGAGCCGAAGATGCCGAACAGAATCATCACGCCGATCAACTCCACAGCCTTACGGAAGTGCGAGACGCCGTACTCTTTAAAGAAGTTCACCATCGGGTCACGAGTGATCGAGAACCCACGACCAGTTCCTCTGTACTTGGAGCCGCCACGGATCAACGCCACGTCGTAGAAATGCGCCTTCGTACCAGTTAAAAACACGTAAAACACGATTCCCAGAGTCGAGATCAACTCGATAACTTTGAGCGACGCTTGTTTGAATCCGAACTCCACGAACAAAGTGGCGAATAAAGGCAACGTGGTCAGCATACCGAACTGCAGAAGATACTGCGTCGTCATAACACTGGCTAGCGAATTCAAGCTGCCTGTGGTCATGATGGCCGTCATTTCCACTTCGGAATGGGTGGCAACGTACAGCTTGCAGTACGCGTACACGTAGACGCAGAAGACGGTGAGCGCATTGCAGATGTAGAAGCCGAAATGTCCGTAGAACATGGAGTTGAGTCGAGAGAAATCCAACGAGTTGGTCAGGCGGTGACCTTCACGACTCAAGCAACTCTCAGCGCATCCGTTGGATAGTTTGGCTTCGAACGCGTTGATCTGACTCAGTGTAACATCTCGTCCTTTGCCACACTGCATGAACTCGACGTGGGTCACTAAACCGCCTCGAAGAGTGACGTTGTAGCCGCTGAAGACATCTTCGGACAGATTGATACCTTTACTAGCCTTGGAGACGCCACCGCTCGTAACGACGAAAGATTTCTCGAACACATCAGGGTGACCGTAGTGCATACGCGAGCGCAGCGGCTTGGCCAGTACACGTTGAGTTAGCGTCACGAACACCAGCTCTTGGAGCGTCATAAAGCGAGCCAGAGACGACGCACGACCTGTGAACACGTGCTCCTTCATACCGATCACAGTCACCTCTTCACCGGTACTTGTAGCGGTCGCTAAGAAGTTGGGCATCTTCAGACACTCCTCGAGATAATGTTCCTGGTTCATATCGATTGTTTGCAGGTATTCTCCGCGTGTAAAAGGCAGCGCCACGTTCTGGTTCTCGGGTTTTCCCTCGCCTAGAATGGGGTTACCAGGCAGTTCATACCGATACACTTCGACGATCTCTCCGCCTTCGGATTTCACCAAAACACAGTCGAAGCGGTTGATTTCCTTGTCTCCGTCTTTTTCAGTAATCGAATCCACGAAACTCACGCGCCAACTCGGGAATTTCTTCATCAGATAGTCGATATCTGCCGCTCGAGGGTCCCCGTTGGCCACTTGTTTGGAATAAATCTGACAACCAGTGATGTACGAGAACTTGAGCGCCGAAATGCGGTTCATCTCGTCCAGTTTTTCTTGGATAGACATGTCACGAAGCGAGTACACTTCCAGCCAGCGCAGAAGCCGGATAGCGTCTTCGTACAGCATCATACCGTGCACCGTACGCGCCAGTGTCTGGCCTCGCATAGACGCCCACAGACGGACTTCTTGGGCGTTGATATCCAGCGCTTCTTCGAGCGAACTAGCGCCCATTCTTTCCAGGAAGTTGCTCCACTCTTCAGCGTGGAACGTGATCAAATACTTCATGATCGTCAGTTCCGTCCAGCCTTTGGCCTTCTGCTTCTTCTCCAGCTCAGCAAACAGCGGGTTCGAATGCACCGGGTTGTTCAGTTCGTCTAATGTGAACAGCACAGTCTCGGAGTAATACGGCGTCATGACTGAGAACGACGGCATGGCTTCCATCGAGTCCACGCGCGGCATTTCCATCGACAAGGAGTGCAGGAAGAAGCCCATACGACGCTTAGCGTCTTCGCAGCGAGGAAGCGAACTGGCGACGTCCAGTCGAAGCAGGAAGAACAGGCGTGTACAGCTCGAAATAAAGTCTTCGGGGTTAAACCGCGGCGGCGGCTTAGCAGGGCCTTCACGCGGGTGTACGGCGATCAACCCGATCTCCGCCATCGCGTCAGCCTTGTACAAGTAAATGAGCTGTTGCGTCTGGAATTCCAAGTCGGCGGTGGTCTGTAAGAAGCGGCAGTTGTGGAGCTTACGCGAGACCGTGTCGTCGTTCAGCATGAGCTCTAGAGTCAACGCGATGGCACGCAGACGGTCCACGACTTGAGCGACTTGGACGTGCAGCTCCATGCGTAATTCCTCCGGCGCAGTGGCCAAGTCATCGATCGACGCAATATCCTCTGGCATATCTAAGATCACAGCCAGAAGCTCCACCACATTGTCCGAGAGTTGAGGCAGGTAGGTCAAGTCCAGCAGGTTCACGACGTCCGGAGACGAGTAGATGTACTCCAACACACTCAGCGCTCCTTTCTCTTCCTCCTCACCCAGCAACAAGTAGAAAATATCACGTGCAAGCTCCATGCCGTTCTTCATGCCTTCTAACGCATCCGCCGTCGCGATGTTCTTGACCAAAGTAGCGATATCCCACTTGTTTGAGCGCGTCTTGGCTGCCACTTCAACAGCCTTCGATAACTTGCCAGCTAATAGGAAGATCGGCTCCTGGATACGTTCTCCTTTGTTCAAGATACGGTACTGCAGAATTACCGTCTCGCGATCATCTAAGAGATCGTTTAAACGGAAATTGTCCACCACTTGGTTCCAGATAATCGCAAAGCGAAGACGCACCACGTCGCGGTGACGCAACTCGCCTTCGCCACCTCCTGGTACTGGCGTGACGGCTTCGGGGCTTGGCTTTTTAGTCCGTAGAGACACAACTTTATCGTCGAATAACTTGGGAGCTGCTGCCATTCCGACCTTCAGTTGCGCTAAGCCAACGTAGTGTCCAATGTGCATACGCTTGCCCATGATCAACCCGACGAGCGATTGGTACAGGATGAACCAGATCTGCGTGTCGTACATGTACACAACGAAGATCGGAGCCCACAACGCCAGGATGAACATGATGTTGTGTCCTGATTGGAAGACTCCATCGTCGTCCACTACGAGGTCGTAAATCTCGATTGACGGCGCCATTAAGGGCCGGATCATGAACTGCAGCGCAAACAAGAACTTGCAGAAGAAGATAATGTACCACGACATACTGTACTGCGTGTAGTTGGCCCAGGGTTGCGCCGTGTTGCGCCCCACATACTGTCGACTGGTGCCGTCCAGTGCATTAATCATGCGAATCCCCCAAATGGCATTGGGGAAGAACGCGCGGATCGTCGCTGCTGTTAGCACTGGGATGCAGTAGAGCACAATGTACACCAGTCCCATGGACAAGTACGTTCCGGCCTCGCCTCCACCTGGCAACATGCTGCTCAGTGACCCAAACAGTGCGGATTCATCAGGAGAAAAGTTGATTGCCATGAACAGAGCGAAGAAGAAGGCGTGCCAGAACAAGCGGCAGAAGACGCCCACAGCCATCCAGATATCCTTGTACAGTCGCAATCCGAACAACCAGATCTGCATCACCACCTTCATGGCTAATAATCCGGTTACCGTGCAGAAAATCGTATAGAAGGCATGTGCGCGGATCTTGGTCTGGTCACTGGTGAAAACTCGGAAGAAAAATCCAAGCCCGCCGTCGTCGTCGCCCTCGGCCATGTACGAGACGTAGGTGATTACCACCATGATGTGGAAAACCACGACTAAAAAGTACCAGACGCGGAAGAACGCCAGGACGGGGTTAAACACACTGCGTTTCTCCTTGAACGTCTTGTGGTCCTGCACTTCGAGCATCTTTGCCACATTCATTTCGTCACATTCCAGACACAAACTGGTCCAGAAAAACTCGTTGACGTCGTCGTAGTTTGTGGTATCTTGGTGGTCGAACGGTCGCTGGCCTTTTGGCGCAGTTGCCAGCCGCATTTGCGCGATCACGTTGTACACTGGGCGCACAATTTCGTTTAGATAAAATCCCTCGTCCACATCTGGCAAAGTATCTAAAAACTCGAGTTTTGTGGCCATGTTGTGGTACAAGAAGCAGATGCACTCGGGCATGAAGCGCAAGTTGCCGGCCTCGCCCCATAGCAGCAGGAACAACGCCAGCTCCTTCTCCATTCTCGACGTGTTTTCCTTCTCTGGGTCCGAGCAGCGCGGCGCCGTGCGCAAAAATTTGCACCAGGCCACATAGTTGCGGAAAAACTTTTTGTGTACACGCGTGAGCGCCGAGCGAGTCACAAAGTCGGCGCTCTCAGCGGAGCCCTGGGGGGCCTCGGCGCGCACGCGCATCTGGTAATTGGTGATCCAGCAGCCCAGATTTTCCTTCTGATTGGCCACACTACTGCGCTGGAAGCCGAACTTGGTCTGTAGCAGCTCGAAGGGCCCGCGCGCGGACGCGTGGAAGCTCTCGAGGCGATGCAGAGCCTGCTCGCGGTCCACATCGAGGTAGTTGCTCTCGGCCTGCCGCCGCACGGGCGCGCGTGCGCCTCCGTCCGCTCGGTATGCCATGTATGCCTACCGATCTTCTGGCGGATATTAGGGGGCTTCTATTGAGAGGTGGCGGCGCTTGGGTGACAAATGGGTGAATGAACTGCCAACGGCCAGGAGGGGACAAAGCAAATCGGCAAATCAGTCGGCAACTGATTTCCAAGTGTACCTAAGATGACAAGCAGAGCTTGTTTGGAAACGGGACGGACCAATAGAAAGCGAGGATTACTGGATGCTGTCTGTTGTAAAGAGGACAGAACGGTAAGTCGAGAATCCACCGGATTCTGCGGTGTCTAACGGGGTTTTGCTAGTCGCTCGGAGGTTGCTCATAGTGCGAGCACGAGGGCTCCATTTATTGTTGGTGAGTGTCCTACGCAGGCCTCGTACCCAGTTGTCTTGCCGCCGCTTGATTCAGTGCACAACCGCAGCAGCAGCACAGCACAAAGTTTTATCATGACCGATGCCATAGCTCCAGCAATGTTTGTCTGCAACCTTCACTCTCCTCAACAACTTTTTTTGCTTGAAAAATCTGAGTATCGCAGTGTCTCAATGCTTGTCACTCAGATATTATCAAAACTCTCGATGCTGCAGTTGCCAACATGAATATCCACTGCCACTTGCCAGCGTTGGCAAAAATGCCTGCAACAATGCATGCACGTGGATACTACGTGTATTCTTGAGTGCGGTGCATACATGAGTCACCATGATGCATTTGCTGTCCGTGCTCAAGCTTATGTGGTCTGATGTTACGCCATGCGTAGGGTGGAAAACGTGTATTGACATGAATGGAGATCGAGTTCACGGACATCGATGGAATGTGAGAGGAAATCTTCTAGCAGCCATCGCCACCAGCAATCTTTAGGCACGATGTGCTGGGGAAGATGGACATGACGTTGGTCATGATCGTCCACACGTACGTAAAGGCGATAAGGATGACCGCGATGATACCCACCAGTTTGCTCTTGCCACCGTTGCGACGCATCTCCTGCGTCTCGGATTTTTGACGCGGAATGAGCAGCACAAACACCGTCGAGAAGACCTTGCACGCGTACGAGCACAGGTAGGCGTACGTGACCTGCTCACGCACTCTGGTGTCGTCACGCTGAAGATCTGCCGTGGAAATGTCAAAGTTGGCGTCAATGTTCTTGGTGATAACCGTGGCAAACGGCGACGCCAGACTCGAAATGGCAACAACGAGACCGTAGAATGCAGCTTCGTTGCCCTCCTCCATGACTTCGACCATGCAGTAGGTCGACACGATAAAGCCGATGTTGTACGGCACCTGCTCTAGCAGCGGTACACCCAGCCAGAACCACTGGCTACGGACGACGTCCCAGATCGTCAAGAAGGTCGGGAAGCAGTCCACGATCACGACGGCGATCTGGGCGACCACAATCATCCAGCGCCAGTTCCAGTTGAGTCCCCACTGGCGCACCGCCAGTAGCGAAGCCATAGAGATGAACGTAGAGATGATTGTGGCAATGTTGCTGTTCACGGGGGTAATCGTCAGCCAGACGCTTTGCAACGGAGTTGCAGCGGTCACACTAACGTAGGAGAACATGTTGCCGAAGAACTGATACGCCAGCACCTGGTACACCACGCGGTACTGGATCAAGTCGAACAGCTTGGCGATCTCAACCTTCATGGAACGACGTTCCACACGCTCCTCTTCAATGAAGAACCAAGCCACAAGCGCCGTGACAAGCGACGTGACCGCGCAAACGCCCATCAGACCTCCCACTCGGATGGAACCGGCAAAGTCGCCACCGTATTCCTCGGAGTTGAGACCGAAGCCCACAAGAGCCGACGCGACGACGCCACCGGCTTGACGAGCGACCCAGATCATGGTCTGCAAGTCACCACGGCGCTTCTCGCCCTCACGTTGCGAGAGTTCTACCAAGGTACCTCCACACGCCGTGAAGGACAAGACCATGCCTAGGTTGGCAACAATCATGAGTAGGATGAACTTGGTGCCGTTATTGGGGGCGTCGTAGTTGATTTCAGCGATTTGTTCCGCGGTGAGCTCCGATTCCGTCAGAGACGCCCACGAGTTGTCCGGGTAGTACGGTTCTCCCTCGGGTAGAACAGCCATAACGAACGAGCAGATTGTGCATACCACCCAACCGATGACCATGTACGGACGACGACGGTAGCCGAAGATCGGGTAGCAATCCGTGATAATACCGAAGAACGTCTTGAGCGACCACGGTAGTGCGATCAATACACTGGCCGATGCAGTAGCCACTCCGGACATGCGGAGGTAGTTGTTTAAAAAGGGGTACGTCAAGCTGTATAAGACGCTGTAGATCAGTCCAGCACCGGCGTACTGGAACAGGAAACCGAAGTAGGTTTTGCTCTTGGTGTCGGGCGGTGGACCCTCACGTAGGGCGCCTTCTTCGAACTTGGCCATCGGGTTGGGCGACTTGGCCTCGAGATAGTCGCCATCAGCCTGCAGCTTCTTGCTCAGCCGAGGCGTCGACAAGTGCGAGTCGCGTTCAGACATGACCATGTCTCCTCTCCAACTTGCCGTTTTGGTGGTGCTGTGCCGGACGAGGCGAGTTTCGAAATGGTCTCCGAAAAGCTAACCAAGCAGTAGCATCGCTTAGGCATTCGCCCATCCAGTGGCATCAAGGAATGCCCGCAGCCAGCCAACGATGGAGACACCAGTGGAAGAAGTGGCAAGGGTCTTTTGGCACACTGCTTTCCAGCACCTCTGTATCATAACGCATGCCTCGCGCCAATCAAGACTCGATCGAAGAGGTGAACCGTCACAGAGAGCGCTTCAACAGCGCGAGCGACATAGAAAGAGGATGGGGTCACGTCAAGACAGGCATATATCGCTAACGTGACCGGGAAACCCGACGCAAAAGAGCGGACTGATGGTCGACAACTGGCGTCGCAACTTCATAACACGATCGGTCATGCTGTGGCGCTGATGTTGTGATGCGGGACGGTGTGCCCCAGGCCAATCACACGGATGAACGTTGAGCGGCTTGTGTAGAGCGCCAATCATGTGGACGTCGACTGGCAACACGGTTCAACTAATGGCAGTGTTAGTATCCATCCACCGCCATGCACTTACGTGTGCATGTGGTGAAGCCGCCGGAATCGCTGAAGTTCGACGTCGTGGATAAGGGGGGAACAATGGGCATGAACGTCCTTGGTGTCGTCCTGCAAGCTTGAAGACTACTGAAGTTGAGTCGCGATATCCTTGACTTGTTCTTATTTACTGAGACTTTGCTAGATAAAAAGTTGGTCTGATATCTCCGATTTGTCGAAGCACAAAGGCCATTGTTGTGACAAACTTGCGCAAACCTTCACGGGTTAATCGTTTCTTCGGGCTCACGAAGAAGTCGTCCAACTTACTCGTGATGGTGCACGCGCAGTTTCCGATCAGTTGCACCTACAGGTGCAAAGAGATGAACAGAATTCGAAGGCAATCGCAGCAGAAGTGTCCTCTGTAGGCTGCATAGATCGCGGCGCATTGACACGTTCGGCGTCAGGCTGAGTGATCCATCGCATTATATACATCGGCACCGCTTAACAGTGTCGTGTCCGTGCGTCCTGGAAGCAATGCAACTCGACCTCGACACGTTTTTGCCGCTGCTGCCCACGTTTCCTGACTCATGTACTGTAGTTCTGAGGCAGAACAGCAATAGGTTGAGCGTTCTATTTATTATTATTACTATTATTTTCGAGCTGCACCCCTCGCATCATGGGCAGGGCGTGGAGTTCGATCAGCTTCTTGTCTTCGTCGCCATCGACACCACAAACCGATGGCAAAGACGTCTTAGCGTTGTGTGAAGATGGCGACTTGTTGCTCGCGCGCGAAAAACTTGCGGATTCTGCGTTACGTGTAGGCGTGGAGTTCGTCGTAGCTCGAGATATTCAGCGCATGCAGCGTGGTCAGTTCCCAACAAAACGAGTGACCTCTTTGCCACGTACGCGGCAATTGCAGTGGGAGTGGTCTGGTTCATTGAGACTGACGCGTTTTCTTCGTCTTATATAGCGTGGACCAGGTGAGCTCACTTCAACTCGGTATCACTCCAATGCGATACTTACTTCCTTGCTGAAAGCTGCGAATTACTGCTACGTCACGAAGGAGCACTGCACGTCGCATCAATTGGGGCGAATGGACTGCAATTTGTGCCTTTCGAGGAGCGAGTCGTGAGCAAAATACCGCATATTCACGACCGAGTAAGTTCACTAACTTTCATTCCGAAAAACCCGTTTACTAAATTCCAATTCTTGCAGTTTGCTATTCGTCGACTTCGCCACGACGCAAGAAGCGAGAATCTCTCAATAACATTGCGTGAACTGGCGATTCAGATTGCCGCCATAGCTCCAATTTCATGGCAGACGTTGTTATTCCCCACAACTCGAACGCAAATATCACCCAGATCACCACGACAGCAATCAGTAGATCGTGACGCAGTGATCGATGCGCTAAAAGAGCTTCCACCCATTATTCGCAGGTTGTTAAGGCGTATGCTGGAGGTATCGATAACCAGCTTCACTCTCGATTCTCAAGTTCTAATCCTACATTTGCAGCTCTTCTGTCAGGGTCTAACGCTTGACGATACCAGCCATCCGCACAATCCGGACAAGACCGAGGATCCGAACGTTGGTACTGAGTTGCGTGTGGCTTTGGACGCTCTGGGGGGCGCTGAAGTCACCGCTCGCTTGAGTGCTGCCTTTGTGGCCACAGTATACGAATTCGTCCACCTACTGGATCCGATCAACGTCAGCACCAACAATCCCCTCGTTCCAGCCGCATTTTGGTCAAACTGCAGCGATAACGAGCGCCTGAACTTCACTCCATCAACCGCGTTAGGCTCCGAGATGTCTCTCGTTATCCCAACACGTGACTGAACAAAACACGCATTTTCTTAGCAAAAAATGAGTGACACCTAGACTAGCGTCACGAATACCTATCCTAAATTTTCTATACCTACCTACTCGATTCTGTAATTGCTTGCACTGGCAGGTTTTCAACACACGAGTTTCACGACACAACACGCCACTGGTTCACTACGCCGCTGTATCCTTCTCCTCAGCTGCAGGAGTCGCAGCGGCGCTAGCTGTAGCTGTACCATCCGTACCAGCAGCGCCATTGTTAGCTTGTCGTGCGCGTTGGAGTTGCTGCTGTCGAGCCTGAACCTGCGCCAGGAAATGGCGGCGGATGTCCGCGCAGCGAGGAACTTTGCACGTCGCGTAGTCCTTGGTACACTGTCGAGCATGTGCCGATAGAAGACCGATGATACGCTTACACAGCACACAGGGTCCAGCCAATCGCTGCTCGCAGATCGCGCCGTGCTTGAGCATCGCTTGCATGCGGTTGCAGTTGAAGAACGTGCAGTCCGGCACCGTACAACTGCTCGCGTGTTCCAGCTGAAGCAAGAGCTGCGGGTCGATGTTGTGGATCCGTCGCTTCTTAGCTGCATCACCGTCCGTTGCGTTGCCATTGGAGCCATTAGCCGTCGGAGCTGAAGCAGGTGCAGCGGTAGTCGGCGTTGGAGCCGTGCCGTCCGCCGGCGTCGGCGCCTCCGGCTTCACAGCTGTCGGCGTCGCGACTGGAGAACCCTGCGGCAGCTTACGCTTACGAGAGCCAGCACTCTTCTTTCCAGCGTCCTTGGCGTGCTTTGCGCGCTTGAGATCCGAGCTGCCTGCTTCGCGCTTAATGGCACGCCCTGACGCGCCTCCAGCCTTGGATACGACACCCTTGACCTTGGTGCTTACAGTCTCGTTGGAGACCTCGTTACCTGGTCTGGGGATAGGCACCACCTTGAACAAGTGAAGCTGGTGCTCGTGCTTCGTCTTGGCATGGCACGCGTCGCAGAGATTGAATACGGGACAGATGGAGCAGTTCCAGCGGTTCCCACTGAGCAACGTCGTCTTGCAGTTCGAGCAGCTGAACGTGAAGCCAGTGGTGCCCTGGTTGAACAAGTGATACAACACCATCATGGACGAGTGCTTGGCGCGTCGGATCTGGTCGAACTGGCAGTGGTTGTTCTGGCAATACAGCAAGAAGGCCTCACGGGTATCGAAGATCTCGCACGGCATGATCACGTCATCTAGATCATCTCCAATCACTCGCTTCACCTTCTTCTGCACGACACCAGTCTCCGCCTTCGTCTCCGTCTGCTCAGCCTTCCCGTCACTCTCTTTATTCTCCTCAGACGTTGGCTTGTCAGCAATTGCCGCCTCATCAGTCTTGCTTCCAGTGTCACCAGCTTCTTTTGAGCTCGAGCCAGTCGCTTCTGCTTCGCCGTTCTCCGTCGTCTTGTTCTCAGGCTCTTCCTCCTTCTTCACCTCTTCTTCCTTCTTTTCCGACTTAGTGCCTTCCTGCTTCACCTGCGTCTCGTCTTCCACGTCTTCTGTCGGATCGACAAACTTCAAGACTGCTTCGAACTTGATCTCTTGCAGATCCAGCTCAGCAAGTTCTGCAGCCGCGGCCTTCTCGTTGAGTGGTAAAATACGCTCGCTCAACTCCTTGGCACGCTTCGCACAGTTCCCAGACACCTCCACACGATGCAGCAATTGCGTCTTGTTGGTCTCGTAGCACGACTTGCAGTAGAAGTAATGATAGTGACGCGGCGGCGAGTTGCGAGAGCTGGACGACGACGACCGGGTCTTCTTGGCAGCCTCCAGTAGATTATTAACCGAAGCAGGTGGCGGGATCGTCTTGAGCTCCCAGTAAACTTCTTGTACGATAGGAACTGCACACTTGTGGCACTTCGGGTACAAGTCCACGACGAAGAAGTCTTCCTTCTGAGGCTCCAGAATGCCCTTCAGCTTCTGCATGAGCGGGTCGTTGTTGATCACATTCTTCGAGCTGCTGGTTGTGCGCGACGACTTCTCACTTTTCTTCGAACGCGCTTTCGACGCGCTGCTCCGTGTCACCGACGGTTCCGTGGCTGTACTCTTCTTGCTGCGCTTGCTCTTACTCTTAGCGTTCGGCGTCATCGCTCCTTTGGACGCTACAGTCTTAGTGTCCGTATCAACCGCATCATTTTCATTGTTGCTCTCACCAGGCGACGGGGAGCGAGAGATCGGAGTCTTGGAGCCATTCGCAGGCGTATTCGCGCCACTAGAACTTGCTGCTGCGCCATCGGGAGCACCGGCTTTGGCTCGGTTACCATGGTCTTTCTCTTCCAGCTGCTTGATCAGATCTTCAGCTAGTCGGGGCCAATAATCTCCTTCGAAGTACGGGAGCTCATGCGCTGCTTTCTTCTTCATGTAGTATTCAGCATACAAATTCGAGATGTTGACCACAAGTCCGTCATGTTTGGCCTGCTGCAGCAGCTTCTGGTACCACTGACGTAGTCGCGCCGACTTGGGGATCTTCTGGTTCTCTGGTTTGCAGAAGAAGATGTAGTCGTCACCTTTCAACGGCGGACAGGACCAGATGTGGCACGTGTGGAAGCCGCGGTTCTTGCAGTCCTCGAGGAAGCCAAGCATCACTTGCTGGTGCATCAACGTACGCAGCTTCTTGGGTTGGAAGTAATTTACCGAGTCCAGATACGACACGTACACACGCCCAGCGTTGGGCGATAGAGCGTCAGGACCGTACTCCTGTACATACAGCGTGAAGATGAGGACATCCACGCCATCCAACTCTTGGAAGACACAGATACACCGTGAGCGATACGTTAGCTGCAGTGACAGCGATGCTGATGCAGACGTTGCCTTCTTGTCCGCAGGAGACGCAGCTCTCGGTCGCTTCAATGACTTCGTCTGGCCTGTAGCTCCACTGCTGTCACCCTTCTTGACCTTCTCATACTTCGCTGCCAACAACTTGCCCATTCTCGGCTTAACCTGGACTTGTTTATCAATACTGAGCACCTCACGGATCGTGATCCCATACTGCGTGTCAGATCTAGACTCCTTGACGCCGTTCGAGAAGCCGATGCTGTCCGAATTGCCCATGTTGCCCATACGCACAGCCTCGTCTTTGCCTGCCTGTTCAATGGCCTCCATCACACGCGTCTCGATCAGCTTCGCCATCCGTGTGATCGGTAGTCGTTTGGCCTTCAGTCCGTTGTCCATCGACGGCTTCACGCCCGCAGCACGCTGCTTCTTGACGCAAATCGGACACACGAACGGCTCCTGCTCGCCCGAAATCGCGTGGTTGCGCTCATTGAACAGCGCACAAATCTGGTGGTACCACAACTTGCACGAGTCACACTCCACCCACGGTTCTTCGGCCACCTCGCTATTCTTGCGCTTCACTAGTGACGATTTCTTCAACACGCCGTCGAATGGGATCGCTCCAGGAGGAGGAGCCACTTCCGTCGCCGCGCTGGACAGCTGAGGCAAGAGTGACAGATCGATCGGGCCATCCTTCATCTGCTTGTAGCAACTTGAGCACCAATGGTGCTCTCCACGAGGATCACTGTAGTAATGCGTGTGTCTCCGAATGCGCCCAGCGCACGGGCCACTACAGAAGAGCATACAGGGCGCGAACTTGAATGAGTCTCCACCACACAACTGACACATCTCCTCGCGACGTTGCTCGCAGCGCTTGAAGAGCTGCTTCTCCAGCTGATTCTTTAATGACCCCAACGACTTGTTAAACGAGGCCAGCAGCTGCTTTGCGGCGATGTTGAACTTGTTTGTGCTGCTGTTGTAGGCGATGCAGTTCTCAAAGACCAGTCGTACATCACCGGCAAACGCTTCCACGCTGTTGTAGTGCTCGGCTTCGAGTCGCTTCTTGATTGTACCGAGATCCATGGGACACTTGATGATATCGAAGTAGTCGGGGATGTTCCACTGCACAGGATCCACAGGATTATTGAACGTCCAGCCATACTCGCTATCCATCAGCTTCTGCAGCAGCGGCATCAGCCTGTTCTTCAGCTCGGTGATCGTAATATGGCCACAGAAATTGAACCGGAGCGAGCGAATGTGTTCATCCAGTTGGCCTTCCGTCATCGAGTCGAGGAACGAAATGTCTTGATGCGACACGTGATCGCCACGCAGCTCCGCCTGGGTGCCACGCACTACGAGACCGTTGTGCATGACCGGTTGAACTGCTCCTGTCACTGCAGTAACAGGTCCTGTAAGCGCTGCCGCTGCCGCAGCTGCTGCTTTTGCCTGAGCACGAGCCTTCGCGATCTTCGCCTGTTCCTTGCGTCGCAGCTTTTTCTCCTTCTCAGTTTGAAGTTTCAGAGGTTTCTTCTTCATCTCCTCAAGCACACTCGACTCCTTAGACTTAGCCTGGTTAGCTGCACCGCTGGACGCATTAGCAGCAGCAGACGCTCCTTCGGTCTTTACTCCTGGCTGCGCCTCATTCCCAGCCGCTGCCTGCGCAGAAGCCGAGCCTGCTACACCCGTAGCAGTAGTCGTGTTCATAATTTTGATCAGGCCACGCACACCTTCCGGACATTGGCTAGCTGCTAACTGGAGCTGCGTCGGATTTCCTCGGCACGAATCCACCACCTTGATAGCCTTGCGCACAGGGCCGCATACCTCACAAATCATCTTGTTGCACTGCTTGAAGTGCGAAAGCACGTAGCGTGACGAGATGCAGTGGTCCGTTCGGCATTGACGTTGATGACATTCGCAGATATGTTTCCACAGAACCTTCATACCAGCGCAATAGGGAAGGATACACTGTTGTGCTGCACATGTACTGGCATGACGTAGCATACACAGCCGCTCCTGTTGCCGTCGAAGCACCAACTGCTGCTCATTCTCGTTCATCGGGGGCCTAATAGCGCTACACACATCGCACTGCAGATTGCGGCACTTGCGGAAATGCGACAGCAGCTGTCGAGTCGACTTGCAGCCCAGTGTAGTACACTGAGCATTGGCACATCGCGACACGTGGGAAAGCAACGCCTTTGTGCGACTGCAGTAGTCAATCGCGCATTCTCCGGTCGTGCATGTACGCGCGTGCTTGAGCTGAATCAGACGGCGTTTAAGTTCCTCCCTCTTCTGAGCAATAGATACCTCGTTCATCGGGATCATCCCTGGAGTCCCACTATTGCCGTTTGCAGGTGTCGGAGTTGTCGAAACCCCGCTAGTAGGCACAGTCGCACCAGTCTGCAGTTGAGCAGCGCTGACTTTCCCGTTCAACTGCTGCTGTTGGAGCTGCTGGAGCTGCTGCATCCGTCTGAGCTGCTGCATCTGCTGAATCTGCTGGATCTGCTGGATCTGTGGTCCTGTCAGGTTCATTCCGTGGTACATGTTTGTTCCAGTCGCAGCCGCTGAAGCAGCGCTGATCATAGAAGGGGTTGGCTGCACCAGTCCTCCAGACGACGCTGTAGCACCGATCTCAGGCGGCATACTCAATGGAACTGCGTTGAATGATCCTGCTCCAGCACTTCCGACGACTGTTGGGGAAGCGGTGGGGGGCGTCACGTTCACAAAGTTGGCAGTACTGGGGTTTACGGTTCCTGTGGGCGTCGTAGCAGCTTGCAGCTCCGCTTCCGGCATGGACAGTGGCTGATCATTCACTCCGTTGGCCATTTCATCGGCTTCCCGTTCCAACTCATCAAGAATTGAGCTGCCTGCCGCAGCTCCGTTGGCAGAGGATGGAGCGGTCGTGGCTGGAGCTGTACTGACAGCAGCAATGGAAGCAGGGGTCTTCACGGCCATTTGTGACATGTTAACTGGCATCTGCAACGGTTGACTAATGGCAGTCTGGTTCATTGCAGTCGACGCCCCAGGAAACGGAACAGCCTGGAAATTGGTCCGTTGATTGTGCAGCGCTGCAGCCATTTGCTGCTGCTGTTGTCGCTGAAGCAGTGCTAGTTGCCGCTGCTGTAGAAGCTGAGCTTGCTGTTGAGCAGGATCCGTAGATGCCCCCGACGCTTGAAGCTGCTGCTGCTGTTGTTGTAGCCTCGCCTGTTGCTGCTGCATCTGCCTCCTCCTCGAATTATCCAACGCCTGCTGTAGTCGCGCCTTCAACGTCTGCACGTTGCTGTACTCTTGTTTCGATGGTGCCCCCATGTACAGCGTGTGCTCCAGTCTCCTTGCGATCTCTCGAGGATTATAATTCGCTGACGTCGGTCGGTTCGCACTCTTCATTATCAACGTCAAGCTGTAAAAAGTTGAAAATTGACCCACCAGTGTTCAGCTAACCAAATTCCAACTAAAAAACGTAACAAATACTCACATGATTCGTGCAATTTGCTGTCTGGCGCTTCTGTCAGCATCTTTATCTCTCCAATCCGCCGATGTCCCTCCTGCGGCGCCTCCTCCGCCCCCTGGAGATACTGCAGTGGCGGGGGAAGGCGTACTGGCGGCAGTGTTTGTGTTTGTTGCAACCATGGCACTCGAACTCGTAGTAGATGCTGCTTGTGACACTGGGGCTGCCGAAGTACTTGTAGTCACGGTCTGTACACGCAAAAAAAAACTATTAATCCCTACTCGAGACATTCTTAAGCATAAGAAATAATGCAAAACGTACGTTGCTTGCAGGTGTAGTAGTAGTAGTAGTAGTGGAAGTCGAATCAGCTACTGCCGGCTTGGGTGCATACTGAGATACAGGGGGCATAGATTGCTGCGGAACGGACATCAGCTACCTTGAGTCTGCTCCCAGCAGCCACAATGCTCTCTTCTCCAGTAGTTCGTATTGTTTGAAGGTTCTCCGAGCTGTTTCCGAGCGACAAATCTCTTGGGCAGTGAACAAATGACCAGCCTCAGAGGCTTCGGCTACAGCACAGCAAAATGCAAACACAAGCATCAGTTAGTTTCTCCATTCACTCCGTAGCATATATTCTCTGGTACGAGATCAATAGCTCGATTGGCAAGGTCGGAAAATAAATTGCCACCAATGGTAATTTATTTGACCTGACCGGACGAGGCACTTTCAAATGTGTAAAATGAACCCAGAAAGCCGACAATATAGCTTTCCTGGGCTCAACTAGCCACGTCATTGTGCTTCCATAGATTTTGCACGTCTGGGGGTTCCGGAATCACGAGGGCGGCAACACCCCCCTCGGTAAATTACGGGATTCTTACCTCTGTCTTGCGGCGGCCAGAAAGGAGAACGGGACGCGGGAGTCGCCTGGGACGGGAATGCGCACACGTAGATGATAGTTTTCCGGGTTTCAGTAGAATATGCTCGCTGTAGGTCGCAGGCCGACGGCGCACGGGGCCGACTGTTGTGAGGGCGGACGAGGCTTCCGCCAGAGAATTGTCAAATAAGGAAGAAGCATTTCGTGTGGCGCACATTTTAGTGTGTGGTACATAAAATGGATAGAAACCAAAGTTGGTCAACAATGGGAACAGCAAACGCCCGGCTCCAACGCGGCGAGGGTGCGGCATCGGCGCTACATGACCACGGCCAGACGGTTGTCGCCTTCACCTTCGTCTTGGTCGCCCCAGATTGTGCTCAACTTCAAGAGATCGACACTGGTAACGAAGCAGACACTTGAGCCAGTGCAGTTGATGTGTGCTTGCATTGAAAATGGAGCATGCATAGTCCCTGCAGAAAACACATTAGGTTGGGGGGGGGACTAGAACCAGGAGGAAGCATAACCTTACGTAGGTAGATTGGTTTCGGTAGAGCGCAGGTAGATTCAGCACTGCTCATCCTTGCCGAATTAGCAGGAATTCGCTAAGAGTGTGCGGAAACCACCATCCCACGAAAGTAAGCTTGGAGCGCTCTTCGAGCTACGGACAGTAGCTCAACAAGCCATATCCTGTCGAGATATCCAGCCAACGGTGAAATATTTTGGCAAGCAGGTAGCTGAGATCACGTTCGCGGCGAAAGAGCATTTGCTGTAGATGATTTCGAAACCAATCAGCTTTCATCAACACCAGATTATGATCGACCCAGCTGATCACCGCGAGCCTGCTTTCCAATTGAGTGTAGCCCACCTTCGTAATAATGAGCTTGCCTTTTCCATAATACGCCCTTGGATACCATGCCGCCAAGCATTCTCCTTCTTTGGAATAAATCCGGACGATTCTTGGGCTACTTGACTCGTTTACTGTGATCCAACGAAAAGCTGCAATCCACGCTTTCTATAGTTGCTGTACTGCTAGCAAGCCCGAGCAGCAAGTCGCCCAGGAATACGGTACCGAGTTGTAAAGTGCATTTGAGACCCGACGTCAGCCGCAACGCCTTTTGTCATTTCGAAAGTGTCATCGATTCTCCAGCGCAAAACTATCCATAAACAAACCATGGCCCATGCTGGGAATATCTACCAGCAGCCAGGGGTCCCTCTTGTCGTTCATGGTAACCTTGAAGCAGTCCTCGTTCCGACGGCGCTGTTAATAATCTGCGCGGATGCTTGGTGGAGAGTCCATTTGAAATTGCACGCTTCTATTTGAAGTAACATGAGTTCGGAATTTTAATCTCATTCTAATTCCGGTAACTAAATTAGATTGGTTTCAGATTCTAGAAACCAAATTGAAGAGTCATTACGTATTACAACCTCTAATAACTTTTAGGGAAGAGTCGTTAAGTATTACAACCCTAATAACTTATGTACTGTCTTGAGTTATCTATTTTGTTATAGATGACAACATCAAAAACTCGTCGTGACCCATGCTGATTGGCTAGGATGGCATTCAGACGAAAAAAACCCATTAAATTTTTAATTTTTTCCGTCTGAATGCCATCCAACGGCAAAGCTGCATTTTCTTCGAAAGTTCTACAAGGTTCGTTGTCGTTCAGCGAATACCAATAGAGCGCATAAGCAGTTCAGAACGAAACGAAATTCTGAGAAATATCTGAGAATTTCTGATGATTTTTTTGCTAGTTTTGTTTCCGTCTCGTATCTGGCGACGACAACTTTCGTCCTGCTTTTCGCTACGAAACGGAAACAGAGAGACAATCAGTGGACCAAATCACAACCATGGCGTCGGACAGCGACGAAGATCTCCTCTCGCTCCGGCGCGCAGCGCGAGAGATGCTGGACATGGCACGCCTTAAGCGCCTTCACCTTCATGGGGATTGGGAGAGGGCGTCAAGGCTGCGACTCCAAGGGCTTTCGCTGCTTTATGATGCTTCTTGGCGGTTCTCCATTCCCCGCGTTCGATTTGACATAGAAGATTTCACGGATGACACATGCCTAACTTTCTACCGTTTTACCCACGCGCAATTGCATCGACTACAAGATTGCTTTGGACTGCCGGACGTTATCCGCACGGGATCACATTCACGAACCTGCTGCAGTGGCCTCGAGGGGCTGTGTATTACTCTGCACCGCCTTTCGTATCCTAATCGGTGGTTAGAGCTCTCAAGAATCTACGGACGATGGCCCAGCGCATTGAGTAGTATTTTTACTTTGTTGTAGGGAGTATAAGCGAGAGGTGTAACGCATTGTTAGAGGGGAATTTGGATTTAGCTAGTTCGCGGCTACACGAATTTGCTCAAGCGATCTATGACCAAGGAGGCGAGCTGGACCGTGTGTGGGGCTTTGTCGACGGGATTGTGCGGGAATTTGTCGGCCAGCTGGAGCACATGCGCAGCGCAGTGTGTATAATGGCCACAAGAGGAAGCACGCTTTAAAGTTCCAGACCGTCGTCACTCCAGACGGCATGATATTCCATCTCTTCGGTCCGGTGGAAGGCTGCCGTCACGATATCGTGCTGCTGCGAAAGCCGGAGCTTGGTAATCGCATCAGAGGTGATGAACGCTTTCGTGGCCTTTTCATATACGGGGACCAAGCTTATGGGCGCACGGATGTTTTTGTCTCGCCCTTCAAAGGGGCGTTGACTCCAGCTCAAGCAGTAATCAATTCTTCCATGCCGGAGGTGAGGACGACGGTGGAGTGGAGCTACGGACAGGTGGTCAATTATTGGGGTGGGGTGGACTTTAAACGCAAAAAAATGTGTCTTGGTGGAGTTCCAGTTGCGACGTTGTACAAGATAGCGGTGGTGCTAACAAATTGCATAACGATTGTTCGAGGCGGCAACAACAACAGCAGATATTTTGGCGTGGAACCCCCTTCACTACAGGAGTATTTTACGATTGAGTAGACTAAATAATACTCTACCATTCAGCCACAATCCCTTCTAGCTCAGTCGCTCTGTTTAGTTATAGCAACAGCTAAAAGCTTCAGTATCGACTCTATTTGCGTGGCGTGGCGCTGCATCTGCTCGCGCAATAAATCGTGCTGGCGACGCTGTTGTTCCAGCTCGTCGCGGCGGAGTTGCAGTTCCTCTCGCTGAAGTTCCACCTTTTGCTTTTCAATTTTTCTACGCTCGGTTGCCTCCTCTTGCTTGCTCTCAAGCAGTGTCGAGAGGCGACGGCGTTTTGGCTTGGCAGATTTTTCATCCGTTGTGTCTATTCGCTTTGAAACTCTTAAGGTCAAGTTAATCACATAAGAACTATTTTGCAGTAATGGATAATACATACCTCTCCTCAGCAGCCTGCATCAATTTCTGGCCAGCCGTCTCGAGGATCTGCGTCTTCGACTCTGCGTCGATTTTGTTGAGCTCTGTGCTAGTCGATGCTGCGTCCTTCAGTTTCTGAAGCTGCTCGAGGACGCCGTCATCATCG